ATTTCATTAAAAAAAGCTTCATTAGGGCCGGCGGGCAGGGGAAGCGGCGCCCTGCCTGGTGTTTCGTTTCCAGGGTTATCTCTGCCGAGCCTTTTAGCAGCGAGCTCCAGGTGCAAACCCAGACACCATCCGCTTCACACTTCGACGACTAAAAACGTGACAGAAAATGTGGCGGTTACATCCCCGCTTGCGTAGTGCCTTCCCTCCCCGAGAAGCCCGCTGTGCCACCCCAGCACATGCAGGGGGAAACAAGCTTGTTGGGCACTGAAATGGAGCTGCCTTTGGGGTGGAAAATGGCAGCTGCCCAGCAGCACGTGGTGGTGATTCTCCTCTCAAAAGCTGTAAGGGATGCGGTGTCGCGTTCAGCTACCGTGAGGGATTAAATGTCGTCTGTAAGTCAACCCATAACTTCAGTTCGTCCTTCCTCAGAAGTCAGGTGAAAGGGGAGGAAGGCAGCGTGGCTCCCAAGGGTCACCGGCCATAGGTGAATCTCAGTGCTCTCCAAAAGACTGCTGAGTCCTGTGTCTGCTGGAGCTCCAGGGAGGGAAACGGCTCAGGCATCTGCTTATCAGTTCAGTAACCAACAGAAGACCCTCCACTGGGTTTTGCCATAACAAGCATCTATATAATTTTTTTAAACTGGCCTTTTTATCACCTGATCTAAACCATCAACAGTCATATACCCATGAAGATGAAATACACAATACAATTAAACGAAAGCCCCATATGTTTGCTCAGAGTCGCTCCACTATATATAAACTCACTGGTGCAAAGCTGGAGAGGGCAGTGACTCCCGCCCCGTCCGAGTGAAAAGGCAGAGCAGACGGGCTGTGGGGCTGGGAAGAGTCTGCTTTCTGTCGGTGACACTGGGAAGGGGATCCACCAGCTTGGGCAACAGCCTTTCAAAGGAAGAAACTCTCCTGCCAGCTCTGGGCGAATGAAGAAATATGCCGAGAATTTAATTCTAAAAGCTTTTTACACAGAAACCCTCCAAGAAATATTGTTAGGAACTACTAAAAGTATAAGTGAGCTTGCGATGGGTAGAAGATAGGATTAAACTGAGAAGATGGGGACAAGGAAAGGGTTCCCTTCCCGTGCTGGGGTACACCCTTGACATGACGAGAGCCCTGTGCAAGGATCTGGGGTGCTGCTGGTCCTTGTCTACTAAAGCTTTCGTTGAACAAGTCGCCGCAGTGCCTCTGTGGTAGGAGCCCACTCCGAAGCTGTGGCACACCGGCAGTTTTACAGCGAGAGTAAGGTATTTCCTGCTGGCTCTCCGCTGGACTTGTGGAAATTGGGATTGAAGCTGGGGGTGGGGGGACACCTGATGATGGCAATAAAAACAAATCCCTATTGCCGGGGTAGGTGGACCAGATCAGATCGCACTTCCCATAGGGGTTGGAGACACATCAGCCAAGTTCATCCTGAACATATGTTAACTGTTAATAGTGTTGCAGAGGGAAAAGGGAGAAAGCAAAGAGTTAAAGGGATGTTAGCTCCTTGGACTTTGGCACCACTTGGTAGGGAAGTGAACTAAAGAACCACTGCCAAAGATATGATGGGTGTGGATATTTCACCTATTTACTTATGTTACTGCATTTTCCTCAGCCAATAATAAAGTCTTTCCTTGTTTTAATTGCAGACCAAGTGTTTGCAACAAGGAAGGATACCTAGCAAAGGCACTCCCTTTCCCTATATTTCTGGTTTTAAACCCGAACCCTTGTTTCTGTCAGCACCACTTCACAGAAGTTGCACATCAAGCCAGTTCTTTTCAGCACGCTTTCAGCTAGAGTGAGGCTACAAGAAGCACATAACACATTCTTCTATTAAAACTGTGCTATGTAAGCTGCAGTTGAACATAAAAAACATGAATTATTTGTTCTCTACTTATTTGATAGCCTGTCCAAAAATATAGGAGTGATCCCCACGACAACTGGTGATACGCCCACTGGGCTGTAGTCAGACGTCCTGTCACAGAAGCCGTGAGGAACAGGTAATACCAACAACGACTAGCAGCATATTTATTTGCTGGGGATTATCTATGTACCAGATGAGTAATTCTCACAATAACCCCATGGGATGTAAAAATATTTTCTCTGTTTTATAAGAAAGACTGCAAGAGAGACTTTAGTCCAGAATATTTAGAAAACCAACAGAAGAACTTAGTGTAACACTCAGAAACTCCTTCCTTCTTGTATGTTCTGTCACTAAGACAGACCGTGTCCTAAAAATACACCCAAGTTGTGCAAACATAACCCAGTGTCTTTCATAATTATCATGTGTTTGTTTCACCCCCTTCTTATTTTAATAATATCACAATAATATTTGCTTCTTATTGCTTAGCTTTACAAATGTTTACGGTACCTAAAAAGTAACTAACGATAATAAGGAATTTATATCTTACAATAAATTAAGCAAGCTGATAGCAGCACAGCTAGAAGAGTGGGGAATGCAGAGGATACAGTTGAAACAATATAGTTTATATATTAACAACGTGTGTGTTGAGTGTTGCAATACTTAATGTTGGTATGATAAAGTGAACAGCCTTTTCTCTCCAGGGACATGAGATTTGTTGTTTTGGGTGAAATATTGCAGATACTGGCTTTTGGCACGCAAACCATTTCTAAAGTCATAGAATCATAGAATCATTTAGGTTAAGATCATCAAGTCCAATATTAACCTAGCACTGCCAAGTCCACCGCTAAACCGTGTCCCTCAGTGCCACGTCTACACGTCCACGTCTTTTAAATGCCTCCAGGGATGGTGACTCAACCACTTCCCCGGGCAGCCTGTTCCAATGCTTGACAACCCTTTCAGTGAAGAAATTTTTCCTAATATCCAATCTAAACCTCCCCTGGCGCAACTGGAGGCCGTTTCCTTTCATCCTATCACTCGTTATTTGGGAAAAGAGACCGAC